CTCATCATTACCTACATCTCTACTTGAGTCTCCAGGTTTGATTTTGCCCTTAACCATGTTAATTGTGGAGAATTGGGTGTTAGGGTGCATGTTTAGAGAACTTCATTGAATCTTGTGATTTTTGTGCAATTGATTGAGGGGAATGCATGGAGTGTGTTTGAATTGTGTTGGGCAAAGTCCCCCTTGATTGTTTGAGCCCTTGTGTGCAAGAATTGTGCCAATTTCATGTTTACCTTAATGGTGCACACAAGGTGTTCGATGAAATGCCAGTTTTCGTACCATTTTGTGGGGGTCGGTTGGGGCCCTTAATGATGTGCTTTGAGGGTGTATTTGGTATGGATGTGAACCTTAAGTTGCCTACTTGTTCATGGATGTGCACCCCCACTCAGATTATGCTTGATTTATCGAGTTTTTGACCCCCCGAACTATGGATGAAACCATGGTTCTGCTGTTTTCTGTTCTTAAGTGTAGGGGTGTGATTAACATTTTCCTTGGCTGTTTTGGTTCCACTTTGGGCTGTTCTTTTGCAGGATCATGTCGAAGCCCAACCTCCGGCATCAGTATGTTCAAGATTTGAGAAGGGGGGCCCACCGGGATCGTTTTCAGAACGTCCTAGCCTGCAAGTTTGGGCAGCACCATTACTGGTCGAAGCGCGAGTTGGAGAAGCTCAACTGCTACGAGCACCTCTCCCCCGTTGTCACCAACAAATACTGTCGCTGCCTACTCAGCATCCGCGCGACGGTTTACCATGAGCTCGTGCTGGAGTTCTACACCACCTTCAAGCACGCAGCCACGGCCGATTGGAAGGACGAAGCTGCAGTCCAGTTCCGACTCGGCGGTGAACCACGCTCTATGAGTTACGACGAGCTGGCGGACGCCCTAGGCCTCAACTTGGTCAATGACAGGGACTTCAACACAGAGGTCGCCGAGCCCGACAGGGTGGACTTCGGGAGGCTGTACTTCAGCCTCGCTCGGCCACATCAGCTTCCCTTCAAGGCGGGGAAGACAAAGGCCACCACATTGCAGCTCGAAAACCGTCTCCTCCATCACCTGCTGGCCAAGTCTTACACCCCAGCCTCCGACAGTGCCAGCGCCATCACCAAGCGATCCCTGTACTTCATTCAGTCCATGCGCCAAAGGGATCATCCCCTGCACTTGGGCTCGGTGGTGGCGAGGACCTTCGAGAAGAGTGCTTCTGAGCTGAAGAGACTGCACTCCTCTCATCACCTGCCTGGCAGAGTATTTCCAGATATCCCTGCAGGGGTGCACGGAGCAGGGAGCGACCACTCCCTTTGGCCGGGCTACGCTCACCAAGATGCTCCTGCTTCGAGAAGAGCGAGGAGTCATCTAGATCGAGGGGTTTCCTCAACCTCAGATTCCAGAGGCGGTCCAGCAGGAGGCTCCTGAGGGTGCAGCTGATGAGGAGGTCCAGCCCGAGGACGTGGATGACACTGCGGCCGCCCGCCCCACCACCTTCGAGTACGGGGGTGGCAGTTCCAGTTTCCCGGGGCAGGATTACTTCACCTCCCAGTTCGAGCAGCTGCGTCTCCAGAACCAGCAGATCATCGACCATCAGATGCAGTTCCAGCAGCAGTACGCGGCTCACCAGGCCGAGTACCACCAGAGGATGGCGGGTTACGATGAGAGATTGGACCAGCTCCAGATCCAGCAGGGGGTGACTCTCGTACACATCGAGCGAGAGAGGCGCCGTTCACGGCGCATGCAGGAGGTCCAGCAGCATTTACTCTAGTTGCTACCGGGCGAGCAGCCAGTTTGGAGGACTCCCTGGGAGGACTCTCCACTTCCACCTCCCCTAGAGGATGGTGATGATGGTGCTGATGGTGGTGACGCCTTCATGAACGACATCAACTTCGATCTGGACGACCTCGGCGACGAGTAGGCTGTACTCGCTGCCATCTCAGTGTGTTTTGTTTTTCGTTTTAGACTTGTGTGTGTTTGCTCCATGTGTGAGGAGCTTGAACTTAGTGTCGTTTGTTTTTGTTTTTGTTTTTTCTTTTGTGGATTGTTTTTGCTGTAGCCGTCTGGGCTAACACTTATCCCTAACGCATAGTGTGCTAGTGTGTTCTTGGTGTTCGATTCGTGCAGAACTGTCCATCGTCCCATTTGTTTCTCGCTGACTGGTCCACTTCCAGTCCCCCAGCAGTTTCAATCCGGTAACATCGTTCCCCTTCTCTATCCCTCTACTCCATTGAGGGCAATGTTGTGCTTAAGTGTGGGGGGGGGGGGTGCTTTGTATCGGTTGGAATGTATATATGTGTGCTTGGAGCCTAGTCCACTGTCCAAATCTCGAGATTTGAGGGCTCTAAGTACTGCTATTTGATCATATTGGCACTGTGTTTTGAGTGATGAATTGAATGGTTTTCGGATTGATGCATGACAGCTTGATTGTGACTAGGACAACCTATGATGAGGACTAAGACGTGCAGTAGAGTTGTGTAGGGGTTCAGTTTTTCAACTGCTTGCTTACCAACTGTGACTTGGATTGATTACTTGTTCTTGACAGTCTCTTATGCATCTAGTTCAGGGTATCAGAATGTGAGATAGAGCATATAGGTAGCCATGTGAGATTTGAGCCTGCTCGTTTCTTTCTTGTGCGATAGATCCCTCTTCCATGATGTGTAGCATTCACGTTGTCACTAGCTAAGATGATGGGGTCATAGGATTAGCCCACGACCAAATTTGACTGTCCTGATGTGTCATATCCCCTAGTCAGCCCTTTTGAGCCGTGTGTTATCCTTTCTTTTGGTCTGAAATGAAAAAAAATCACCCTGTTTGCATCTTTTAGAAGGTTCCACAGAGTGGTTTTTACATATTCTCTGTTGTTTCTGCTAAATTTAATGTGAGTGTTGGAGGTAGTGCTTAAAAGTTGGGCAGGTGTTTGAAATATATGCAGAAGTGGTGGCTCTCTTAAGAAATGCAAAGAAAATGAAAGAAAAACAAAGAAAAATTGGAAGCAAAAGAGAGCCACTACCAAAAATCTGAATAATGCCCAGTAAGTAGTGTTTCTTAGCAGTCTGGCTTGGAAATGCTGACATTTATACCTCCTTCGCTCTTGTGCTCTTGAGATATTGAGTAATGCAGAATAGCATAAAGGAAATACCGATTTGTTTGACTGTGATTGTTTGGGTTTGGAAATGTGGAACCTTGTGCTATGAATACTTCCACCACCTAAAAGGCCTTTTCCCCATGTCCAAGACCCTAGCCAGTCATTTGAACTTGTGTCTAAGACCTCCTGATTAGTTAGTGGTGACACCCCATATGTGAACTCTAGCATTTAGAGGCTGCCATCATGATGAAGAGATGTTAGGGATTGAGAGAAATAGCATGAGCATTTTTCGCATCAAATTGTCCTGACCCCACTGGTCGAGAGTGAGTGATTCATTTTCATATTCTATATGCTCTTGTACCCCGGTGAGGACCTAGATTGCTCGGTCTCTATTCTGATGTCTTGAGTTGGATGCATGAGTTGACTGTTTTGAGTAAGTGGTTGAGTCAAGTCTAGGTTGGTTGGTGAACAGAAGGGAGACTCTTCCTTTACTCGATTTTGCTGCACTCGAATGTCCTTTATGGTGGTTGTCCAGGTTGCTAATGAAGTTGCTCATGTGTTGATGTTTCAAAACCAGTACGATTCACGTGTTCTGTGCCTTAATGACTTGTCCCCAATGGTGATTGATTGAAATATGTGAGCTTACCTTGTGTCTGACTTGGTTTGCTTGGGGACAAGCAAACGGTTAAGTGTGGGGGAGTTTGATAGACCGTTAATTACACATGTTTTTACCCCTGTTCTTACACCATTTGAGATGTGATTTCTCGTGTTTTAGGCCGATTTCACACTAGGTTGTGCTTGTTTGTGATATTTCAGGTCCTAGTACGTGAATGGAGGCTTGGGAGCGAGTTTGGGGTCGATTGGACGAAGATCGGGCGCGAAGCAAGTCACAAAGGAGGCCACACGGGCACACCCACAAATCACACGGCCGTGCAACTCATATTTCTGGCCGTGTGAGATTGTGCGAGAGCAAACATGGCCTGCCCTGACAACTCACACGGCCGTGTGAAGAAGTGGTCTGGCCGTGTTACTTTTGCCGAGAGCAGACACGGGCAGATGGAAATCAAACACGGCCGTGCCACTCTGGCCGTGTGAGAAGCCTGAGTATCGAACTAAGTGGAACGCAGCGTTTTGACTCACACGGGCAACTGGGTATGCCACACGGCCGTGTGGCCCTGCCCGTGTGAGTCGGGATTTCCTGGTTTTAACCCAATTCCGGGCTGCAAGAGAGGGGATCGGACTTTTTGAGCAAAAACTGAGTTCTAGAGAGAGAAAGGACGAAGAACACATCCTAGAAGCCATCTTGGAGCTGGGTTTCATCAAATCAAGCTTGGAGATCGTCATAGGAGTGGAAATCATCATCCCAGAGCAGATTCTTCCCATCAGTATGAGTATGACTGCTTTGTATCTTGTTTTCCTCTCTCTCTCTATGGAGTAGAACCCCTCTCTCACTTGGGGATGAAGAACCCTAGTTCTATGTGTTAGGGATTGATTGTAATGACTTGGGATGATATTACTGTTTGATTTTAATTGAATGATGCATGTTTATTGAGTCAATTGAAGTCTGATCAACTTTTCCTGATTCCTGCTGCAATCTGAGATAGATAGAATCTGATTAGGTTGCTAGAGTCTCATCATTCGGTAGTAGGAGATTGGCTATACGAGAGTTAGCCAGTTTACTGCTTTGTACTGGAATCCAATTCCAGTAGTGGAGTTCTGTTCTTACTGCTTCAGCTTTCTATCCCGGTGAAGACTAGTCGTCTGCCGGGTAGTTAGACTGAGAGGGCTTGGTCAGCTTAAGAGATTCCAAGCTACTGCCGGATCTTCCGCAGTCTAATCAACAGTAAATCAACCCAGGGTAAATTGCAATTGAACCTAACTAAGGAGCTAGGGGGACTCATTCCCGAGTGACTCATTCCTGCTTTAGAAAACCGAATAATTTCCTGCTTTATTTCTGCTTTTGCTTTTAAACAACAATCACTTACTTTAGTTGGCTAGATAACAGAGAATCACTGAGTAAGCAGTAGATCTAGACCCCGGGTTGATAATATAACTTGCCTGTTACTGCATTCCCGGTCTGCGATTACACTTGGTCGCAGATTGGTGTTGTGTGTTGGCGTGTCACAAGGGCACGACACCGTGTAGTAGCAGCGGGGAAGCATCCTCCTTAATGAAAGGACGCACCGGAGAAGACACGTCATGTAAAGTAAATTCCTCCTCAGATTCTTCCTCCAAAATTAATCACCGCCGACGCACAACATCAGTACCCTCGCCTTGATCCACAGAGATAGGGCCATCAATGACACGTTCTGTACGTGCATGGCTATTGATGAAAGGCTGCTCAAGCTGGGTGCTTTTTCGGCCCTGCGGTTCCCGCAATGAGTGAAGCCGTCGCCCAGACATCACAGGGCTACCGCCACTTCGAGCTATAACCTTGCCACTCCGCTTCTGCCACCCAATCACAAGTTTTGGGGCCCTAATGATGGGAACACGAAAGGGACTCCTACTCTGCTGGCCCCTCAGTTCCGTCATCAGGAAAGGGTTTGTTGAGGAACCCATCCAGAGCGGGCTATCGTCAGAGATGGGATGCTTCGCAACAGTATCGTTATGCCTGGTCAACACCCGTGGCTCTTGTTGCAGACGATCATCCGAGACCTTTCCCAAAGATCGTGACCCATGTTGAAGTCGCGGATCAGCCCCTTTGCTTCCCCGAATATCTTTGTTAATCCAGACTGAATCTGATTGCCTAGGGAAGCGCTGCCTATCCTCTTCTTCCTCGAAGATTTTTCTACCCATCTTTTTTGTTGACATGTGCGGACCGAATCAGTCTTTCCTCGACGAGGTATCAAACAAACAGGCCTGTCGCGAATGACCCACTCGGCCACAATTGTAGCAGAAGCTAGGAAGATGCTCATACTTGAACCAAATCCAGAAATCACCAGCCACATCATTCGTAGCCACGATTTGTGAACGCAGTGGCTTGGTGAAATCAATAAGGGCTTTAACCTTCACAAAGTTCCGGCACCAGTCTGTGCAAACAAACACTCCAGATTTCAGGACCCGACCAAGAGTGGCAGTAGCCACTATCCGTCCAAACTGTTGGGTGCAACAATCCTCCTGCACATCCCACACTTGTACACGAAATGGAGCAATGGCCAGTTCATCAACCGTTCGTGTCGTAACATTCGGTGTCCAAGCCTGTAAGTGCAGGATCTTGTCAGAAATCACCCACGGCGTTCATTGGAGCACCTGAAATCGGGCAGCCTCAGAAGGGAGCACGAATTCATACAGTCCATGCGCAACCATTCTTACTTGGATTCGTCCCTATCCTTGCCATGGGTTGTTAACCGAGTCACGGAGCTCCACCGGGGACATTCGGTTATTGGAGAATAATCGGACAAGGAGTGTCCTGGACTTGCGGACCCTGTCAGATTGTATCTCCCCAAGGGAAAAGGCCACCACTTGGTCATTAGCAATGTGCGACATTGTAGTCCACTGCAAAACAGACACAACAACGGGTCCATCAACCACGACATTAGAATAGGAGGGCTCGAGGGCCGACCAGGGGAAACTCGAAAACGAGTAGGGGAAGTTATGTATAGGAGTAATCCCCAAACGAAGGAGGAATATGAGTTCAACATGAGAGAACCACGTACCCGAGAAAACCCACCGGTATTGGCTAGGTGCACTGCTCTGTACCTCCAGATAACCCACACGAAGATTGCGTTTAGGTAACAATTTATAGAGAAGGAAGAGTCGTGACCTCCCAAAGCCCGCTGGTGTCCTACACGGAGTGGGTAACGCAGGATACTTTGAAAAACAATAAAATATTGGATTCTCCCCATCTGGTAAAGATCCGTCGGGAGGTTAAAGCATGATCCTCAGTCCGTAAATCCGGGGAGCGGTTAAATCCCCAAATAATCGGAACCTGGACTTTAGCATGCATCGGGACACGTTGGGTCCCGTGCCGTGACCGGAAAAACATCATCGGCCGGCGAGGGGACTCGCCCCACATGGGGATCTAAGTCCAAACATACGAGAGTCATTAGGAACATCTTCCCCGAAAGCATGGCTCTCTATCCTCGCCTTATTTTCAGTCCGAACCTGGACTTTCACATGCACCGGGACACGTGGGGTCCGGGGCCTTGGCCGGCAGAAGATCATCGGCCAGAGAATGGTAGTTTGTTTTGGAGCCCTAACCTCATCCACCATATCGAGGGAACTCGCCCCACAGCGGGATCTAAGTTCAGAATTATAAGAGCTGCCAAGAACAACTTTTGCCATTACACAAATCTTTATCCTTGACTGATTTTCAGTCCGCTTAGAGATAGGAAGAGTTTCTTCAAAATCCTATTCATTTGCCGACGGTAAACGAAATCGCCACACCGACTTAGAGAGCCGCCGCAGACGTTTAGTCCTAGGGCAATCGATAGCATCTTCGCCACCAAGGGAGTTGTCGATTTTTCGTTTATGGCTCTCATGGCATGGTGCACCGTTTTGAGGAACAAACAATTGATTCATCACCATCGGGACTCCTCCGGGGTGATCATCCCCAATTTCACGGCGAATTGACTTCCACCGGATTCCATAGAGACCCTGATTGACAAGAGTAACGTTGATCACTGCCACTACGAGATGAAGAAAAGCTTGGCCAGCCGATCGGCATATCTGCAGGAGAGGCAGAAAAGCAAACGCCTAAGAAAGCTCAAGGAGAGATGAGAGAGCGCCTCTCTCCATTTTTTTATTTTTAGCAAACGTTCAACAAGGCCCCTACATTTTAAAGTAGAGATCTTCCCCAAAAAAGTTAAAAGTAGATTATACAGATAACTTGAGGGCAAAAACAGTAGAGTAAACTGTTAGCAATGAGTTTGCATCCCCTACCTTGAGGTACAGGATTTCATGCAGGAAGCATTGAAAGATCAAATAATTCGGCCTCTAGTAAGTGGGGAGATTTGCATCCACCTCACGAACCCAGCCCTCTAGGCCACCAACTATATCCTTTGCAGAGGGGAATCCCATCCTCTGCAGCAATTGAACTGCTCTCTGTGAGCCATTGCCTCTTCTACACATCACGTATAGGCCAACAGCTGACTCGGGGTTTTTGTTGCCCCTACAATGATCCTCTTCTTTCAAGGCTGAAGAGATCTCAGGCAGCCTACCCTCCAAACTTGGGAGGGGGATGTTCATGGCATTTGGAAGAGAAACAATCTTGAAGTGGTGTACCGGTCGTACATCAATCAAAACAAATGGTTCTCCCTTTGTGACTTTCTCATTGAACTCACTGCAGCTTATCCTGGAATCTTTTGGGAGCAGGTTCAGCTTCAAGGGAGCCTGCATTCAATTTTGAAAGATTCATGATGTTTCAGACACTGAGATATTGATTAGCCTTGCCTGTCTATCAAAGAGGGGATCTGAGCGAATACCGCTGACAAGGGAGATTGAGTGAAATTCTCGTAATCAAACTTCTTAAATTGCTCCTTTGTGAATGTTGTATTTTCTCCACAAACTTCACACTGTAATGACCTGCCTCTAATCTTGACCTAAGCAAAATATTCAACAGCTCATCATGAACATGCAGAAAAATGGATAACATGAATAAAATAAGACCACTTGAAGATTGATAAGCAGGTAACATACAATCCGAACTCGTGCTGATAATGCATCAAGAAGAAGCATGCGTCCTGACAATGGCTCCCCAACACCACTAGCAATTTTAATGGCCTCTAGAGCTTGGAGGCAGCCAACTATTCCAGGGACTGCAAACATTAAATCATGTTCACAACATCAATCTTGGCTATAGTCAATTTCATGCCTCAAAGGTGTAATATGACAATGGGCTTAAGCGGCTTGTATATTTCAAACACAGTAAAATCAAAATGGCGGATAATAAATTGGTTCTTGGCTTACCCACTCCCAGGACTCCATTATCTGAGCACCTTTGACAAGCTGTTGCAGGTGGTGGAGTAGGAAAAAGGCATCTGTAGCATGGCCCTCCATTGTAGTTATAGACTGTCAGCTGAACGTCAAAGTGACAATAGTGATTTAGGGGGTGGGGGTGGGTGTTTAACTACAGATAGACAGTTCCAGTAGTTTTTGCATATGGTGCAGCAAACATATTTTGGATGAAACATAATGTACCTGACCCTCCAATCCCAATGCAGCACCCGACACAAGAGGCTGGATATGGAGGAACGGTTAGCAACTAGACTAGAGGATGAAGTATCTGGTACTGAAATCCCATGTGGGACATAAACAGATTGAAAAAGACAGTGGATAGAAGGTACCTTGCCCAACACGACGCAGCAATCACTGATCATGTATCGGCTTGGTGCATTATCTGTAGCATCTACAATTATGTCGTATCTGAAGAAAGATGGTAGCAGCTGAAAAACACCAATGAAGAGAGAAAAAGAAATGCAAGCACCAAGGGGCTACAAAATTCCATACTGGCTAATAATGTCAATTGCATTGGATGTCCGTAATGCTTCTTGGTGTTCTGCTACCTGAATCGAGGAGTTGATTCTGTAGAGCCAAAATGGAACAGGAAATTCAAAGATACAGCAAATGTTGAAAACTTTAACCAATGAAAACTCAAACCCTACAAGTAGCTCAACTTTAAATCATGTTATATGCTAATAAGCAGCTAGGGCTGAACTGCCTAAATCCATATCTATACAGAATCAACACCAAATGAGATACTTACGAGCGACAGGCAGCAGCAGCGGACTTAACTTTTGGTTGACCTATAAACGCTTCAGTATGTATAACCTGTGATCAGAGGCGAGACAAAACCAATCAAGCAAAGTTCAGCAAATACGCATACTAACTAGAACTTCATCATAACCAGTTACGAGAGGGAAACGGGCAATTAGGCATTACATTCGATACTAATACTCAAAATACCAAGTAGAAGCAAAAAAGCAACGGACAACCAAATGTACCTGCCTATGCATGTTATTTAGTTCAACAACATCATGATCGACGATACCCAACCGGCCTACAGAGAAAACCCGGGAGCGGAGAATTACAAAAATGGCGGGAGAGGAAGAAGATGGCAAGCATTGAACAAAGGGAGTAGAGAGCAAAATCTTACCAACCCCAGAAGCGGCAAGGTACATCAGAGCAGGTGCCCCCAATCCTCCTGCTCCAACCACTAAAATTGAAGACTTAACGAGCTTTGACTGCGCTGCAAATTGCACAAGTTTGTTTCAAGTCTAAACCCATAATTGTCTTGTTTCCTCAGCGAAATTGGGAGGAAGGAAGAAAGTGGAAGTTTGAAAGAACTGACCTTGAACTCCGAAAGAGGAAAGGAGGAGGTGGCGGCTGTAGCGGTAAATCATATCCGGCGATAATCCGTGAGCGAGAGCAGAATCAACGGCCGAGCCGCCTGAATAACAAGACCCGTTGTTGGAGACGGCCGGCTTCTGGAGGTTCAAGTCGCGGAGAGCTTCCAGAGCTCGAATTCGGTTGTCTATGTCGGTTTTGGCGGACTTGAGGGATTCGAGTTCGGCGAGGATACGAGCAGCGTCGTCTCCGTTCGACTCCATTGATATGGAAGGGATTTCGGCGACGGACGGTTAAACTGAGCAGCAAAAACCAGCGGTGGTGTTGCAGGAAGATGCCGAAGAACAAAGGAAACTGAAGAAAATGGAGGAGTTGGGAGTTGCAAGATGTTGAAGTGAGAACTGTCCGCGGACTGGGGTTTGTAATTTTGTTTGATGGCTGGCATAGAACAGCAAGCGAGAAAGTGGGCAACTGCACCAATCGCCGCGTACGAAGTGGCGTACGACTATACGAGCACGGCTGCACGAGGGTCAGGGAAAGCCTGAAAGGGGCATCTGTGCCTGTGTAGTGTACAGCTACAGAAGTTGGGCCGTACTAGGGTAAGTCCAGCATAGGCCCAGTCTGGAGTCTCGACACTTTTTTTTTACAGGAACCAAACAATTGCGAATTCGTAGTGGGCTGTACTTGCATTGGATGGTATGTTAGTTTGTGTTGAAAACTTAAAATCGTAGTTTAATTACGATTTAGCCATTTCATACGTTAAAATTGTCTATCAAACTAAATTTCTATTGAAAGTTTTTCTGATTAAGTCACTAGTGCGGTATGATTTCACAACATGAAATCAAACTTATGGTGAGGTCTATAATATTAGGTGGATCCATTGATATTCAACTAAAAGTTTTTCCGATTAAGTTACTAGTACGGTATGATTCACAAACGACCCAAACCCAATCGACCCATAGTTTTTTTGGGTTGGATTGGGTGGGTTAGGCGGTCGACCCGTTAGACCTATTCCATTTCATATATATGTTGGCACTCAAAATGATAAAATCACTTATAATTGTTGAGATGCTTAAAAAATTTTATAAGGATTTAAAAGACAAGCTTGGAGTGTAAGGATAATCAAACATTAGTTTTTTTCTTTTCTTATAGTAGTATTACTTTTGTGATTGTTTTTTGAAAATTTGTGTAACTTTTATTTCTTTTCATTTAGCATGGAAAAATTTGAGTATTTGTTAATTGACATGGTAAACTAATGCCATACAATATGTAAAAATTTGTGCTATTTGAAATTTTATAAAACATGCATGTTTAATATTGTTTTTGAGAACGCTCAATGACTGAAGATCCTATCTAAAACCCGATGAATTAGTCGACATATGACTCGAAATCAATCAACTCAACATAATCCGACCCCAATCCGTAACCCGAATTTGCCAGGTGTATCGGTTACAATGAAATGGACGAATTTAAATACGATTCATAATCATCCAAAGATACAAATATTGGATGAGTTTGTACGGTTTCTAATTGGATTGGATGGATAAGATATTAAGATGGTTTACATAAATTCAAAGAAAAAATTCAAATTGGAAACAAACAACAGTGATGAAATATTTGCAAGAATTTTGAAGGAAACCATACGCTGATTGTGATCTTTGTTAGTACCAAGGGAAAATATAGGTGGGAGCTAGGTTGTCAACCCGTGGGTCGATCTGGACCCGATCGAGCTAGTGGGTCATGGGTTATTGGGTCACCCGTTTAGTCCGGTTTAGCGCGGATATTAAAGAATACATACAAGTATTGTAGTTGTTTAATAATTTAGTGATTGAAATGTAATTTACTTATAAATACCATATGATAATTTAGGTACCATATGATAATTTACCATATGATTGAAAGAGAAAAAACCCCTAAAACTACCCACACGCCACATCAAATGCCAAAACCCTAAATTATAAAGTCTCATCCTTCTTTCTCCCCGTGCAGACGCCTCTCAACATAATTCCTCTTTTCTTCCTCCATTGAGAATTCCTCTCCTGGTCGGCAGTGGCTACTCCGGGTCCCGGCTCTTCCACTCACCCCCCATCCCCTAAACAAAGCAAAAAACGAGTTCCAAAGCCGACGATCTCTCCGCCATCCGTTCTACTTCGTCCTGATTCCAAACCCCTCAGCGCATGTCGCCTCCCAGCGACCGAACGTCGACCACCACTCCCGGAGTCCTCCTCCACGCGGTTCTCCAGCTCACTCAAACCGTCAAACGCAAATTTGGGAAAATCTCCTTCAACTATGCCTCAAGATAGTGAGCACCGGAATTGAAAAAAGCAAACACGACGACGTAAAGGACAACCCGGTACCCATTTGGGTCGGGCCAACCACCCGGGTCCTCCGTGTTTTGACTGGGTCGAAGCGGGTTTGACCAATCTGGACTAACCCTTGAACAGGTGTTCACAACCCATTTTTTCCACCGAGTCCGGATCAATCCGGATCAACCCTCGGGTCGACCCGTGGGTTGACAACCTTGGTGGAGCATTACAATACAAGGAACGGATGGGGTTGGAAAGAATTTCTACTTCCATCAAGCTGCGTTGTGGAGTGAAGTGGCGACGAGCAACGCGCTGCATGTTGAGCCCCAATTCCAGCATGCGACACGTGTCCGCATCAATCATCCACTCTTTCATTCTTCCTCTATCCGTCCCTGACTCCCTGGTTCCCTCTCGGTGCCCAATTTAAAGTTGTCTCCTTTTGTTTTCATTTTCTCCAGCCGCACTCCTCATCTCATCCCAATCGTAAGATCGAAAACTCACTGTCTCTCTTTCCGCGGTGCATATATGTTATCTATCCCGTTAGAATCATGCATACAAATATTATTATCCGGTGTCTGATCACAAGAGCAGCCTCCTCCAACTACTCCATTGTTGTTCATCATCCGTTCTCACTCCCAAGCTATTTCCCCCGCTGCTCTGCTGCTGCACCTGCACTCAAGGTTTCCGTCGATCGATCTCCCTCTTTCTTCTCTATGTTCATAACTTGAATGTTTGAACTTGAAAAAACATTAGAAAGTTGTAGCTAGAACGGGACCTCTTTTAAAATTTAGGTTCAATTGTAGGAATCTGTTGCATGCAGCTTGTTATTTCACCGTAGTTTAAATTCTGGCTTCGCGACTGATAGTTACGTACGTACGTACGCAGAGATACAGCAGCGGTGGGGAGAAAGGAAGGGATAATATTATTCATCACGACGAGGCGGTAGTGGAGGAAGAGATAGTGAGAGCGCCGTCTCTGGCGGAGGAGTTCAAGAGACTGGAGGGGGAAAAAGCCAAGGAAGAGAGCCATATCGAGGTGGCGGAGCAGCAAGGGCTGGCGAGCCAGACTGCGGATAAGACGTTGGACGCCATAGATGAGTCGGTGGGTGGTGCCGACGATCCAGACCGCCTGCAGGAAGCGGTGAAGAATCGGTACAAGGAGCACGAGCCACATGCTGATTATCGCCGGAGGGGCGACAATACTACTAGATTCTGATCATGATAGATAAAAATAAAGATCCCGGTGATCTGGTTATGTAGCTGCTAAGCTGCGCCATATACATACATGTGTTAATTTGTGGGTCTTCCTTTTTTGGCTTCAGCTTTTGTTTTGTGATGCGAGGTTGAAGCTTTTGGATGGATCGTTTTTATTTATTTATATATGTATATATATAAAAAACTGTTTTCCCGGCGAGAAAAATAAAGATGAACAGAATTGGATTTGCACCTTTGACTTCCAAACAAACGATTAACAAACACGGTCCACACCTCTTTGAACAAAGTTCAAATAAGGGTGTTCAATGTTTTGATGAACTACGAGGCAAATCTACCTTAAATTAGCCCTACTCCTATGGAAGTTCAGTGAGAGCTCCAAAAACTACGACTATGGCTAAAATGCAGAGGAAAAGATAAAAAGATAAAACTTGACAAGTGGTGTCGAGTTGTGATTTTTGCGAACCCTTTCTCTGTCATCTTCACCTCCTATTTATAGCCATAAGAAGTAACTGCTTCGAGAAACTGCTCTGCTGACGTGGAGTGGCGGTTACCCTCTCAACTGCTTCGACAGTTACCTTGACTTTGTATGTAAACCAATCTTGGCCTCTCCTCTTGAGACCTCACTCCATGCTCTTGGTATCTCCTCCGTAGCTTTGCTTGTCTATAGAGAAAAAATGACTAAGGCATGAGAGCATACCACTGCCACATATGGGTGGGTACTCGAATCACTTGAGTCAAAAATGATTTAAACACTTCACCATTACGGGAGTAGGTAGACCACGTGCCCAACTGACTCCCCTTGACCATCTCATGAGGGTGGTGCCTTGGTAGCCCCCCTGGCAACCTCATGGGGGCGATGTTGACCACGCCCCTTGGCCATACCATGGGTGTGTACGTTGGTGACCCCCTGACCATACCACAGGGGGTGGATATTAATCACCGCCCTGATCATATCATAGGGATTGCATGCTCATGACGGGGTGTGTTGATGGCCACCCCCCTGATCATCTCATGGGGGGTTCTCCTTGCCATCCTTGGTGATCACCCTGGGGGTTGGTAGTATGACCCCCTCACTACGTCCTGAGTCACCCCCTTACCACGTCATGGGGGTGACTATATGGTACCCACCCCCTTGGTACCTTCTGGGGGTAGTATGATGGTGGCCACCCCCCTTTGTACCTTCTGGGGGTGGTTACCATACTCCTTGCCTTAGCCAAATTCGGCCACCCCTTACCACGCACCTCCTGGGGGTGTCAGTATGTTATGATGCCCACCCCCAGGGTGTCATGGGGGTGGCTCTCATACTTAGCCAAATTTGGAGATACATGGCGGGCGTGGTGGCACGGAGTAATGGGACCAAAAAACCCAATCTCTATGGCCCACTCAACTGATTTAAACTAATATGGTTAAGTTGGCTTTATAAAGCCACTTAATTCCTGGTTTTTAACCGATGTGGTATAAGGTTATTTTTTTGGTGTAAACAATTGCCCCCCAACTACTTAGTGCATAAGAATTATGAACTAAGTAGTTTACCTCAGTGACACCACTACTTGCTTAGCCGATTTCGGCTTTCATATATAAGTCCATACAAGCTCGGAAATCATAATCAACTAATAATTATCAAAAGTTGATAATAAAACTCTTTTACCCCTTAAAAATTCAATCCCCCCCTTGCAAACCAATCACCACGTGCCAACCTTTTCTCAATCAAAGTTGGCTTTACAAAGCCATAAAACCACCTGCGCCTTCCTCCTTTAGTCTCCAAGAAAAAGGAAATACATGCGCACCAATTTTGCACAACTAAACACAGAGAGATATATATAGCCCTGGTTGCTTGCTTCAACATAAAATCAAATTGCCTTTCACGTGGCCACTTAGCCACTTTGTTCCTCCTCGGCAATTATAGTCTCCAAAAGCCTCGATTTTTCCTTTTCAACTTGGATAAATGCTCAGAGTCTCCTTTTCCTAGTGGGATTCTATCACCACTAGATATTCTCAATAACAGAGAAATATCATCAGTCTGCATTATAAATAGAGCTTCTTCCATTACTTCATTCTTCATAAATCACTCACCAAACACAAGACAAGCTTTTAACTCTTCACTTGCACCTCTTCGGCCATTATCAAACTCCAAGGTGAGAAACTCTCTCCCTCTTTCATTATTTATTTATTTTTTCATATTATCCATCGTACATTGTGGCTGTTGGTCATTACCGTCGTCATCAATTTTTTTATCATGACCGCAAGCAACACAATTACACAATTTTTTTTTATACATACGCATAACATGCATGTATATATGTATTTTGCTTTTCATATATGGCCGCCATTAAACTCCTTTTTTTTTTTGTGAATGGCCGCCAATGTATATATATATATTCATGCACGTGCGTTTTATTTCCCTTCTTTTTTTCGTATGGCCTTTAATATGGATATATATATTAATATTATCATTCTTTTGTTGGCCATTTTTCTCTCACCATACACCATAGTCGTGGTACCACCCCTAACTCCGAGCTCATAATGCTGCAGGATGGCTAACTCCGAGCCAAACAAGCAAGAGATACAAAAAGCAACTAGCAAATACCAGAAGGAGTATGTGGCGTTATGTAAGAAACCAGGGTTGAAGATGGACTTCTTGGAGGTGAAAGAAAATGGGGAGGGTTGGCTTGGCCCTTACCTCATTGATGAGAATACCCTCTCTGCCGCTACACTTGACCGATATCCACTTGAGGGTAGCTTCCCTCTCTATCTCGAAGAAGACATACCACCCACCATGTTCTTTCGCCCCACCAAAAGCAAGAAACCAGTGTCCTCGTGGCCAAATAGTGATCCCATCTTCCTCAAGTGGTATAAGAGGTTGAAGGTTGACCCGACCACTAAGGCACAATGGATGGCATCTGGCATTACTCGTCTATTGGCCCTTTGTGCTGCAATTCCGGATCCAGATGTTCAGCTATTCAAAGCTGCCTTGTGCTTCTGGTCTGTAGGCTTCGAGCAGAGGAGGCACAAGAGCAAAACCAGTCAGAGTCTCTAATTCAAAACTTCAACGTGTTGATGGGTGAAATTCGCGCTCTTGCTGACCAGGAGAAGACTCTTACTCCCATGAAGGAAATAGCCTTTCACCGAGCAAAAGCCGACCAGGAAGAGCGTGAGAACAAGGCCAAGCTCGTTAAACTGAGGGCCACCTTTGGTGAGATCAAGAAGATCCTCCATCCTTGAAACTCGATTTTCATTTATGCCTCATGTTTGCTTTTCTTTTCCTTTACATTATGAACAGTCGGCTTAGCCACTTTGTTGGCCTTTGTTTGATTTCCTTTCTTTCGATCTAATGAGTATGATTTGGATTTTTCATTCGTTCCCCTATGCATACGTGCCCTCTCATGTCTTTTTCCTGCTCCCACAAAGACCATGCCCCCTATGCCAATATGACCACCAACCCTCATGTTCAATCTTAAATCATGTGGCATGGTATATGTTGGAACTATTGGGGCCAAAACGACACCATGCCCCCCTAGTCAATCCCCCTTACTACTACTCACCCCATGCCAATAACCATCCCCCCACGTCTTGTCATGGGGTATGGTTCACATCTTAGCACCGTTTTAAGATTTGGCATGGGGTTAGGCCACCTTAGTGGCCTAACAGTCTCAAAACTTACAACAACCCACGTCCCAAAGAGAAGGGACGTAAGGTTTCAAGTATTTTCCGTTGATTAAACGTTCATGGAACACTCCATCGAGATCCTTTAGTAGATAAGCTCCATTGGGACGAGTAGAATGAACAATGAAGGGTCCACGCCAATTAGGAGACCATTTACCAAACTTGGGATCCTTATCTCCAATGGGCAAATGAAGCTTCCATACCAACTCACCTTCCTCAAATGACTTGTGCCTGACTCTCTTATTGTAAGCACGAGCCACCTTATCCTTTTGTACCCGGATATTATCGAGAGCTTTGAGTTGGAGCTCATCAAGATCACATAATTCCAACATCATGGACTCATAGTACTCAGATGGTGCTAGCTCATGTTGGCGCATGTATCTTAATGACTTAACAGTCACCTCCACCGGCAAGAATGCTTCGTGGCCATAAGTTAGCATAAAAGGGGTTACCTTTGTACTACTACGTGGAGACATCCGATAAGCCCATAAAGCTTCAGATAAGACTTCATGCCACTTCCTCGGGTTATCCTCTATCATTTTAGACAGAATACCCTTCACCACTTTGTTAGAAGCCTCTGCTTGACCATTGGCCTGGGCATAGTATGGTGTGGAGTGTATGATCTTGATACCATACTCCTCAGCAAAAGCCATCACCTCTCCCCCGGTGAACACAGTACCTTGGTCAGCTGTTATGGTGGCTGTCAAGCCGAACCTATGTATTATATTCTCTTTGATGAACTTGATGATTTCTCCTTGATTGACCACTGTCATTGGCTTGGCCTCTACCCACTTGGTGAAGTAATCAGTTGCCAAAATGACAAATGTATGTCTATCAGAAGATGGTGGATAAATCTTTCCAATCAAGTCCATGGCCCATCCCATGAAAGGTCGAGGCTTGATGATAGACTTCAAGTCGATGGCCGGAGCTCTTTGTATAGGGCCATGTCGTTGACAAGCCTCACACCCCTTAGCAAAAGCGGCACAATCTTCCCCGATGGATGGCCAGTAGTACCCATATCGGTGGAGTACCCATCTCATAGAAGGGCCTGCTTGATGAGCCCCACATATCCCTTCATGAACTTCACCCATGGCTTGTAGGGCTTCCTTGCCCCCCAAGCACTTCAATAGTAAACCGTCTGGTCTCCTTTTGAATAAGACCTTATCCAACAAGACATAGTTCCTTGCCTTGAATTTGATGGCTCGATCCACATCCCCTGTTGGGTTCTTCAAATATGCTACCAAGGGGGTACGACAGTCACTAGCCTCCTCTTCAATGGTAAACACATCCACCCTTTGCTTCAATCTCTCATGCAATGGGTTGAGCCTTCGGACAAAA